TGCCAGGGTCAACGCCGGGAGTGGCACCACGGGGACCGGCGCAGCAGGAGGTCGGCAACCCACCTCCCCTTCCGGAGTGAGAGGACAGAACGCCACCACACCATGGCACGAGGACATCAGGCAGATCCTCGGCGAGGACACTAGCAGCAACCCCAGACCGCCCCTACAGGCGCTAAGCAGAGGAGACACCCTGGACGCCCTCATCCAGGCACTAGACGCGACGCAAAGAGACGACGCGGCTTCAGGCAGATCCAGACAACAGTGCATAGACCGCACCTCCTTCAGCGGCGCCGAAGCCCAGGCGGTTGCAGAGGGACTGCTCAGAGAAACCAGGGCCCAACTGGAACCAGGAAGCTGGATGGCAAGGGCCATGTGGATTTGCCTGGCTCCGCACTACACCCCCCTCCTACGGCCTGTACTACAGGTGCGGAGCATCGACATCCGACCAATCGAGGTCCTGACCGGGTGGTTACAGATAGCAGAAATACACACCCCCGAAGACATCAGAGGCATGCTGAGTGAATGGGGGGGAGCAGCCCCCAGACGCTTACTCCCCGTTCGGGAACAGGCAGATACGCCTCCTTCTCCGCACCACGGGCCTCGAGGCATGTCTAACCGAGGAGGATGCAGCCACAGCCGCTAGGCTCCTTATAGAAAGCCTAGGCCCAGCCATCGCCAACTCATCCGATCCACCTGGCGACGCCGAAGGAGTCCTCATAGCCGGCGAGCCAGAACAGAGGCCAGGATGGGACACCGGGGAAGGGGAGCAAACTTGCGCCATCTGCGCTGGGGAGCTCAGCGGAGTCGCGGAAGCCCTAGTCCTCTGCGGACATCGGTTCCACAAACAGTGCCTCGAGCAATGGAGACTGAGCCAGCCTGGAGTATTCCGAGAAGGAAGAAACTCCATGCCCATTCGATGCCCGTACTGCAGAGCCAACGACAGAGGTAGCGTCGCAGCACTACTTCCGGGGTCTCCACCCCCCAACGAAGCACAGGCAACGCTGCAGCGCAGAGACGGGCTCCTGGCTCCAATAAGGCCCCCCATCACATACAGCGAGCTGGCAGCGGCGGCTCTGTCACTAGCCTCGGAACTGGACTGCCTAAGGGCTGACCTGGTCACCATACGCAGACCGAACACCGACATGACAGTCCGGGACATGCAAAGAATCCATGAGCACGTAGCGGTCCGCAGGCGGCCCCCATCACAACCAGGAGAGATGGAGGTGGACCACGAGGCGGATTATGATCATGACAATGAGAGCACGCCCCCTGACCGCACTGACGAAGGTGGACCGGGAGGCAGCAATGCCCCGGCTCCTCCCTCCAGGCAAGAAAGGATGCGCTCAACTCCAGTCATTGCGCAGTCCAGGTGGGCCTCCATCCTAGCCAGACACCCACCAGGAGAAGCCACTACTAGGAGACAGGCATGCGGACTGCACGGGCACCACCATAGCGATGGCCGGCCCTAGCGCCTACGAGCAGATCAAGGAATGTGTGCAGCAGGACAACCTCAGAGGAGGGACTGGCCACTGCCCCCACCGTCCTCATAGCAGATGCCAACGCGTCTCAGATCCAAGCTGCACTGGCGGCAGCAGGCTCGGGAGAGGGCCCGCGCAGGGTCCTGGCTCTGACAGGGCAAGGGGCCCCGACGCCAGGAGGCCCCGACCCAACTGAATTGATAGCCATAGCCAACGCACAATGGGGATACCGAGCCACGAACATGATCACGCACCTGGTCCCCATAGGAAACCCGGTGATAACAGGAAGCATCCCCCCCCTGGTGCAACTAGCGGCGGCGCAATTCGACATAACAGACCACCCCCAAAGAACCGTGATCCCACCATCCGTAGTAGTGCATTGGGGAGGCAGAGGCGCGGACACCAGCGACGCACTGCACATACTCGCGCCGGAGCAGCGAAACGATGCCATAGTCGCACATATCACAAGGTGGCAGCAGACGTTAGAAGGGAACGACCAACCGACTGGAGACGCGGAGTGGGCCACCACCAAGGCATCCCATACCCAGGGATGAGACCCTCACAAGGGTAGAACTAGAGCCACTCTACCACCACGTAGTTCGCTGTCGTCCCAGCAGAGGGACGCACTGGCTGACCCCCGCTGACTCCCCCATTGAAGCGCTCCAGGTCGCGGCGCAAGCGGCTTTGGCGACCAACGACAACGGAAGTACCCAGAGGTCCAGCGAGGCGGCCGACTCCGTCCACATCCCCATCCCCACCCACGCTACGTGCCTTGCCCTGGCAACTGCCGCAGAAGCAGCGGCAGCCCTTGGGTACCGAGTAGGCCTCAATGGAGGAGGAGTTCTTCTGATAAAGACCCCCGAGAGGATCGCCGCCCCCATACTGCGATACCTCAAGGAGGAGCCCCCCAAAGTATTCGGGTCTGCGCGCAACTCCCCTGCCCGCTGCCCCCGAAGGATCCTTCTGGAGGGGAACTGGGATGGCGGCCCCTCGTTCGTCAGGCTTACCGACCCGGAAGAAGGCTTCCACCTGCGGTGGAACATAGCAGACCTAGGGCAGTCCAGTCGACGCGAGATCACCGAAGCCGTAGAGGCCACAGTAGGCACTGGTGCGGTGAAGCAGGTTACCTCGGTGCACGCCTGGTTTCCGAACACAGGCGAGTACACGCACATGACGCAGGTTAGGATCCGACTCAGGGTCGCTGCCAACATGTCGGCAGCCTTTTGCGGGACCAGCTGCGTCGCTGCGGGGCCACAAGTCGTCAGGATCTTCCCGGCCACTCCCTCAAGAGAGCAGATCAGGGGAGACACAGGGATCCCCAGGGCCCAGACAGAGCACATCGAAGCCATAATGGAGGAGGCTGTCCGACAGGCCCCCAGACGAGCGGCACAGCCCCAGACACTGGAGACCACGCCGTTCGACCGGCAAGAGAGACAGGTCAGCCCCCCCCACCCGAGGCCCACGCGCCCAGACCCATGGATCCCTAGCCACACCACGCTGCGGATGTTCTCGGCCCCGATCGGCTCCACCGGGGCCAGGCTACACACGAGGGCGTGGCCACTGCCTGAGGGCGCTGAGAACGGGGAAGGGTCAAGCATGATGAGAGCCCCCCCCCCGGCCACGCCCGAGGAATGGCTGCGCGAGGTGGGCGACATCATGGGCGGGCGACGCCCCGCCCGCCGGATGACCACCGAAGACAGGGACGGCCTGCGAGACTACAGCACCATACTCCACCCAGGGGAGTACCTCTCAGCGGCGGTGGCTGCGGGAGGAGCCGTATCCATCGCCACTTGCGGCGAGTACGGCCACCTATACACGTCTACCCCCATGTGGGCCACCATCGCGCTACCCGCCGAGGCCGACCTGAGGGCAGCCAATCGAGGCGCCGATCGCCCGCAGATTAGGGTGCCCCTGCAGCTACTACACGGGCCAGTGCACCTCGCAAAGCTGGACGCTACCCCCGCGCGCGCCCCAACGCTTGATGATCTGGGAAGTGGCACCAGCTAACCTCACAGTACGATCAATATTTCGAGAAGGCACGCTGCGGTCGACCCCCCCCCCGGCCCGGGGCGCCCAAGGTCTTATCCTCTCCTTGCTGAGGTGCTCTCACACAGACCCCGGCCCAGGGCAGAAACGGGCAACGCACGGGTCAGGGCGGAGAGCGACGCCGTCACATGCGCCCAGGGCATGCTCGGTAGGTTCCAGGCATGCATTGATGAATAAAGCACGCGCGACCTGGCCAGAAGCATCCGAGCCAGACTTGTGCTCGAGCAGCGACGACAAGAAGAGGGCAGACCCATCAGGCGATATAACTGGGACCTCTTCGCGGCCATATGGATCCTCCAACTAACGGACCCTGTCACATTGGACAGGGACCACCTCTACCAGCTCATCAGGGAGCTCGGTATAGAGGAGGAGGTCACCAGACAGCTCCCCTTCTCGCAGTGGCTCTCCCCAGATCCGGACCCCACATACACCGCCCATCACCCCTGGCTTGAGGCCCCAGGGAGCAGAGGCGCAGACATCGACAGCGACGCAACGCACAGGCTGGCTCCTGGCACACACGATGGGCTCCAAAGATTAGATGAGAGGCTGCGGAGGGCCGCCCAGGAGGACAGACTTCGACACGACCCTGGGAGAGCTCCCAGGCCGCGAAGGGCCCCCAGGGGCAACCACGGAGAACCCTCTGGCGGAGCCAGAACGCGTCACACACGGACAAGACAGGAACAGCCTCAGGCGGCACGCAGCAGGGCACAAGACGGACCACCAGTAGACGAATGGGAGACTGCTCAACGCCCGCAGACCCCCGCCGATAGCCCCCCGCGCCCGCAGGCCAACCACCCCCCACCGGTGCAGGCGCGCACACCGCAACCGCCTCGCCCGGACAACCAGGCCTCCAGCCCCCCGTCCCACAACCCGAGACGGCGTGTAGGCGGAAGTGGCAGCGAAGGAAATACCGCGCCCTCGGCATCCCCAGGAAGCGCCCGCACGAGCAACACCCCGAATGCTGGGATGGCAAGCGCCCCCAGCCAGGAGCGTGGGGAGGAACGCAGCAGTGCGGACCGTGGGGAACCGCAGGACCCACAAACGCAGTCCCGGGCACAACCGCGGACAACTGGCGGGACGCTTAACCAGCAGGCACGACGGCTCACGGAGTCACGCGCAGGACAATGCCTGACACACCCGGCCCCTCAGCGGGACGAGCCAGGTGCTGCGCATCCTACAGCGCTTGCACCGACACCCCAGGCGGAAAGAGACGAACCGATGGGCGACGGTGGAGAGGGCAGACAAACCCATCAGGACCCAGCAGGCGCGGCACAAGCAGAGGACCCACCACAAACCCGCGCTTGTAGAGCGAGACCCCCTCCGGACAGCGTCGCCCGAAGCCTGCCCGGAGACCCGCTGGGAAGAGGCGACCCCCCCAGGGCGAGCTCGCATCTGCAACCTTGCATGACGCACAAGTGGAGTCAGCTCCTCAGCAGCGCAGCAGAAACGCTCCGCGCTCTCGGCCCCCCTACCCAGTGGGAGGGACTAGGGCGCACGGACAGAGCAGAGTGGAGGACAGTGCTCGGCGCCATCGCCTGGGGCACTTCCATGCTTCAACTCGAAAAGCAGGTCAGACATGTGTTCACCAGAGCCTACTTATCCCGCAGACTGATCACCCCCTTCAAGGCGTACTGGGCGCAGCGCCCGCCGATCGGCACAAGGAGCTCTGCTGGCAGAAACATACTGTCCAAGAACGCGGCCATAACCGCGGACGACGCCTGCGCGCACCTACAAGCCGCAGGAAACAGAGCCCCCGAAGCGGGAGAGCCGGCATGCCCGTTCCCCCCCTTAACCGAAGAGATCCTCGAAAGGATCTTCTCCGTCGCCATGGGCGACGCTCCCGGCCCCAACACCTACAGGCTCAGGACGGTCGATCCCGCCTGGCTCAACCTCAGGGGAGACCCGCCCCACGCCAGCCCCACTGAGCGACCGCCACAGGAAGCTGAGACAGGGCCTCCTTTGACCCCCCCGCAGAGGATGCACAGCCCAGAGGGCCAGCCCCGAGGGGTAGGCGCTGCCGAGGGGACTGCAGCCCAACACCAACAACAGCAGCAGTCAAACCAGCAGGACAGGGACAGGACGCCGACAGGCCCCGTGCGACGGCAAGGTAGAAGTCAAAGTAGGAGGACCCGGCAGGCAGGCCCCCTGGGAACGAGGACACGACCCAGGACAAGGCCGAGAACCGCAAGGCCGGCAGAGAACAATTCCCGGACCCTGGTAACGATGTGGGAATCTCAACCGACAGTGCGGGTGCAGAGTAGACCTGGAAGGGGTCTCGCACGCACCTCGACTGAACTGCGAGGACCGGGAGAAGGAACAAGGAGGGTAAGACCCAGGATCGAACCCCTTGCACCCAATGAACCCTCCGCGGCCCCACAACCAATCGACGTCCTCCAACAGGTATGGACACAGCACAGAGATCGGAAAAAGCGTGTTCTACCGCTGCTGGCGGAAAACCCGGGGGGGTCACTACCGGTTCGAACCCCTCCCCCCCCCCCTCCGGAAAACCGGGGGGGTCACTGCCGGTTCGAACCCCTCCCCCCCCCCAGCTCATCATGAAAAGGGGGGGGGGGTCACTGCCGGTTCGACCCCCCCCCCCCCGAAAACCGAGTGGGGGTGCGGACAGTGGTGGGGACGGTGTTGGTGGGGACAGCGGTGGACAGCGGGACAGCGGTGGGGACAGTGGGGGGACAGTGGGACAGTGGTGGGGACGGTAGTGGTGGGGACAGTGGTGGGGACAATGGTGGGAACAGGGGGGACAGTGGACAGTGGTGGGACGGTGGTGGTGGGGACAGTGGTGTGGGGACAGTGGGAATGAGGTGGAAACAGTGGGACAGTGGAGGGTACAATGGTGGTGGGGACAGTGGTAAAGGCGGTGGCGAGGACGGCGGTGGGACAATGGGACAGAGGTACAGTGGGGACAGTGGTGGGGACAGTGGGGACAGTGGTGGGAACAGTGGGACAGCTCAGTGGGACAGCGGAGGAGTCAGTGGGACAGTGGGGACAGTGGGGATAGGCAATGGTTGGGCCCGTGGAGACAGTGGGGAGAGTGGAACCGTGGTGGGAACAGTGGTGGGAACAGTGGGGACAGTGCGACAGTGGTGGGGGCACTGGTGGGGACAATAGGGACGGTGGTGGAACCAGTGGGGACAGTGGTGGTGAGGACAGTGGTGCTGGGAACAACAGTGGGGGATGTGATGCGAGCGGTGGTAGGGACCGGGAGTCGTTTGCTGGCGGTGCGTGGGGGGGGGGGGGGGTCGAACCGGTAGTGACCCCCCTCCGGTTTTCGAGGGGGGGGGGGTCCAACCGGTAGGACCCCTCCGGTTTTCCGGATCCGGAGATGGGGGGGGGAGGGGTTCGAACCGGTAGTCCCCCCCCCTCCCCGGTTTTCGAGGGGGAGGGGGGGGAGGGGTTGGGGGGGGGAGGGTTGGGGAGGGGGGGTTTGCCGGGAGGGAGGGGGGGGGGTCAGGGGAGGTGGGGATTTTCGGAGGGGGGGGAGGGGGGGGGGGGGGGGGGCGGGTTCCGGAGGAAAAGGTTGGCAATTTTCCATAGTAAAGCGGCGGTGGATCACGCTCTCTGAGAGATCGCGAAACTGGGCTCTCCCCAGTAGCCCCTCCCGACCAGGTGCTTGCCGCCTACCAGGTAGCAGGCTTGGACAACAACACCATCCGAGACGCGCTACAGTCCCTGCATGAACAAGGCACCATCCGTCTAGGACCCGACCAGGCGGTCGACGACATTGCGGGCAGGCTACGCATACAGGAGGCAGCGGAACGGGACTTCACACAGCAGGAGCAAGGGACAGGTGAAGGCGGACCTGCAGCACAACACGGCCCCACGAATCAACGCTCCCCCCTACACCTGGTGTCGCACTTCGACGGCTGAGGAATCGCCAGACTTGCGGTGGGCGACCTTGTTAATAAGTTAGGAGCCACCAGCAACTTTCGATCCTCGGCCTTCGTGGAGCACAATAGGGCTACGGCGGAGGCGGCGAAGCGCAGATGGGCAAACGCCCCGGACCCTCAAGACGGAGGCCCACCGCATTGACAAATAGCAGAGGATGTATGGGACCTCTTCAGACGTAAAGACCCCCACGACAACAAGACCCCCTGGGGGAAACAACAAACAAACATGTAGACTCACTCGACCAGGGCAGCGCCCTTCTAATAGTGGCAGGACCCCCCTGTAACAACCTATCAGCAGCAGGCGCACGCGCTGGCAGGGATGGTCTGGCAGGAGCTCAGTCCTCCCACTTCTTTGCAGTCCCAGCAGCCTGGTACCTTGCAAACAAAAGAAGGCCAGACGTTTCCGTCCTGGTCCAGTGGAAAACGTGGCCTCCATGCCACTGGCCCATCGGGAACCATGAGAATGGCCATGGGGGAGCTCGCCCGAATGGGCAGTCAAAATGAACGCGGGTGATCATGTGGCCAGTCCCAGAGAGCGACTATGGATCGCGAGGTTCCCTCCCCCCTCCAGCACGATATCATACAACCGACTCCCCATCCCCTGGGAGCCCAGATGGGCTCACAGACCAGACGGATGGATCCCGACATGGACGCAGTCCAGGACCGCCCAGGGCGACCCGGACGCCATTCTTCCCAGCAGTTACCAGACCCACCTCCTATGCCTCCTATACAACGAAGACAGTAACTACAGGTGGTTCCTCCGGAACCCAACGGAGCTGAAGCAAGGGGCAAGGCAGATACTCGCTGATTGCGGTGCAGAACAGCGATTTCAAGGGTGCACCGAAGGCCTCGGGCTAGTCATGTCCGGAAGGGAAAGGGAGAGCCTGGCCGCGGAAGACAAGGTCAGGGCCTGGGGAAGACGGTTAGTGAAGGCCCCCCAACGCAAACGAAAGAGCAAGAGCCATATGCGTGGCCGGGTACTACCGCGGACTCGGAGTGGGCGACAGGACGCTCCACGACGCGGTCGGCATACACTTCGATCCACACTGCCTCCAACGCAGGATAGTCTCTGCGATGCGTGCCTGGAACACAGGAAGACCGGAAGCGCTGGCCTTGCACCCCCGCTCCGACGGGCAGCCAGATAGCGCGCGCATGGGCAACAGCACGGGCATGCGCAGGGAGACAATGCCCGTGGGCACAGCTCAGAAACCACCCCTTCCCAGATGACATCGCGGAACAGCTCCGACGCGAAGAAGCCCTCCTTTCCGAGATAGCAAGCCCCTAGACTCGGTTGAGGGCCCCAACACGCTCCGCCGAGCGCTTCCCCCCCCCCCCCCCCCCCCCCCGCCACGTCTTGGCACCGGGAACTCACGCACGCGCCTGGGCGCAGGCACGACGCGCACTCAACAGTACGCTTGAAGCCATGTGCCACCACAAGATTCGTGGACCGCGTGGCCTTTGGTCACTCTTACACACCGATCCCTGGAGACAGCCCACATGTGACACCATGTGCGGTAGCCTCACCCTAGATGACGTGATACGAGCCCTCAACGCCACCCCCCCTAACAGCCTGCCCAGGTTCAGCTGCTGGAACGTGAGATACCTCAGAAGCTGCACAGCTGGAAAGAACCAGATTAAGCATGCACTGCTGACCCTGGTCACGATGAACAATAGGATCGCCCTGATCCAAGAGACGCACTGGTCTGAGCATGAAGTTGAGGTTTGGAAAACTATGTTTCCAGCGAGGACTCTTGCGGCCTCCCCTGGGTGGGTGCCTCGGGCCAACTGGAGGACTCGCCGGAGGGGCCGGCATCCTCCTCCCCCACAGTATTCCCGTTCTGGAGCAACAGATCCTGGTCCCAGGCTGCGCCATTGCCGCCATCGTCCAGCAAAGCGAAAGGAGAGTCCGTCTGGTGTCAGTGTACTTCCCCCCTACCAGAAAGGAGGACACCCTTGCAGGAATCGCCATAGCGGAGGAGCATTGGGAGCCGCTCGACACATATCGGGGCGGGGACGTCAACCTACAGCTCGAACACCCAAGAGATGGAGAGGTGGAGACCGCAGCCCTCCTGAGGGACGTTCTGACCAGCTCCGGTTCAGCCGCCAGTCACATGCCCGGCCCCACCAGAACCGACAATGAGAGCGAATCGCAGATCGACATGTGTGCATGCCCGGTCCAGCATGTCCACACTTACAAGCCCCGCAAATTGTGGAGACCCAAGCTGTCGGACCATGCTCTCATTTCACTCGAACCACAGGGTGCGAAGAGGGCTAGAGGGGGCGATACCATGAAAGCCGCAGATCTCAGGAATCTCCCAACTGCTGCGCACGCGGAACTCCGCCAGCTATACGCTCATCTCGAGCTCTCTTTCGGTGCCCCGCCTGTCAGCCTACGCGGCCTCCTCCAGCCGACCGACTGGATCAGACCAGCCTGCCCGGGCGGGTTCCCCGACCGACACCCGGACAACGACGATGGCGACACCTCCCTCGACAATCCCCCCAGAGCGCAACCAGGCGCGGTAGGGGGGGCCAGAGGGCGGCGGCCTCACCCCGCCCGTCTTCCCTACCCTCATGAGATTCGGCAGGCACGCCCTCTCCTCAGCACTGCGGGACTGGTGGAAAAAATGGAAAACGCACCGAACGCGAGCTTCTCCAGGCCTACTGCTCGCAGCAGCTAGTCCGGGGAGTGAGACGACACGCCCGGTGGGGACACTGGCGGCTTGGCTTTACGAATATGGGTGGGACGGGCAAGACCTAACCCCAGACCAGGCTGGCCGGTGGCTCAGGACGTGGGGCGCCGAGGTCACGCAGAGAAGAGCCGCGCGCCTGTCCCCCTTCACAGAGAGGTCCCGGGGCGGGGCGCTCACCCCTGGCGGCCCACTACAGGGCGGGGCGGGAGATATGCAAGAAAGCCCACGCCATCCTAGGCGCGCGCGACCGCAACGGCACGTGGCACGACAGGCCCAACCAGATCGACAACGTCCTCTGGGACAGCCGCAGTGCAATATGGCATTCCGCCCACGTTGGATCGCAATGCGTAATTTCTTCGCCGCGTCTGCAGCGCAAACATTGAGCAGTGGGAAACACCATGTCCACAGCGGGCGGATACACGATACTGCAAGCCGTTCAAGAACTTCAGATGCTCCATGGATGGAGCCAAGCGTATGCATAGATGTGTATATGTTCTCCAATCTTCCACGCAGGTCAATGGGAAACTCTGGGTCAGTCGGGCGGACCACGATCCCCAGGTGCTCGATCAGCTTGGGGGGGTCATCGTCCGTCGTCCACGTTTGGCGCTTGCCTTGGTTCTCCCCGAACTCGACCGCTCGGTCAAAAACGGTTGTGTATTGAAGATC